GACGGTGCCGCACAGCCGCTTCCACCGCGCAGGGAGACCGTCGGGCGTTGGAAGGGCTTGCAGCCGACTTGTGCTGAGCGTTGAGCTATGACTGCATTTTTTCCTTCATCAGTCTCCCACTTGAACTCTATACTACTGTTTTGAGTGATTGATTGAGTGAGTTTTCGAGTGCATTCTGTAATTATTTCATTATGCAATTTTGCACAGATGTACATAGCTATGAGCTTTTTCAGGTTTATTTTATTCCTTATCTATTTGCACTGTAATTGTAGAATGTCATTTTTTACTGAACTGAGTACTGTATTGCTCACAAAACTGGAAACGCAAATTAGTTCCCACAAATTAGTCCAGTTCTATATATCTCTCTGCTTGAACCTCTGTTTAGAGACACACAAGAGGACAATAGAATAAACAGATTCGTGTAGAACACTTACAATTTTTGAACATGCATCCATTCCTACAATGTCAATTGTGTGGTGGTTTAAAGTTGACTAAGAAAGGCAAGAAGGTCTTCCTCTTGAGAGCCTGCTCCAGACTATAAAGGCAACTCAATTTTGCCTTTTGTTGCCGGTGGTGTTGGTTGAAAGTGCTACCATTGGCGCCCGCGAAACGACGGAAAGGTATTCTGTTCTGTCGCTGTTTATTAACGAAATGTTGCGACAGGTTACGAGAGGTAAATTAAACAATATTTTCTCTCTTCTGTCGTAAACTAGGCAAAACGACCAATACCATAAAGGGAAATTTAGGTCAAACGGCTACTCTTACAACATAGTATTTGTAAATGGGGCTAACGGTAGGTAAATAACTACAGTGTCCCTTCACAAAGACGTAGAATTATTTTATTTATAATGTAGGTCACTGAATCAGAAGAGCAATATCTGCTCACAGTCCGAGAACAGACAATTTATCTTTTGTCAAATTTCGATGTTGAAACGTATTTCTTATCTGCACTGCATGCTATTTTCATTACACGAATATCGATTGTCTCACACGAACGCTCCAAAAAAGTTTACAACACTAAACTATTTCTTATTCATCTGAAAATGGCACTGCAATTTTTTTCTTGAATTGGAGAGAAATGCACTTTGTCTTAATTCCACAAAATATTCGAGAGTGCGAGCGCCTGTATTTTTAGAGAACACATTCGATCTACATTTTACTAATTTCTGAAAATTCTGCTTGTTTCAATTGCTAAGCTTTGCGTCTTCAGTTATATCTTTGCCTGGCCAAGCGCTCAGAACGGAGCGTTCTGCATTTGAGCGCGAACATTCTCGCGTTTTGGTTTCTGGAAGCTCTTCGTGTACATATCACTTTTCGAATTTAATACGACTGGTCGATTACAATTATTCCATGAACAAGTTTAGTCGTTTGAAACAAGAGCAGTGAGGATCACTTCAGGAATTAATGAATGGGGAAAATCACACCAATGCAGATAAAGAGCGGAGAAAGTACGTTGCGACTGAAAGGTCCATGTAAGGAAAATTAAGAAGTTCTTCTGATCTTAAGGGATTCATTAGATTTATAGTTCGAAGTTTTAAAGGAACACGAGCGTGTGAAAGAAATATGTTAGGCTCCGTTGTGTATAAGTTATAATAGTTCATTTGACATCGTGCAAAAGCTATTTGTGACATAATAATGTAGTAAATGTTTTAATAACATATTCTTTCACTCTTTTCAGATCGAAGTACATTTTTGTTGTTGCATCTGTACTTGAGTTTACAGAGGATGTCTTCTTGCCGATTTCGTTTCAATTTAAAGCAATGGACGCATCACATAGTATACATCGAGTAAACAGTATACATACACCACTGCAGGAAAGAGGCGAGAGCAGGGAGTTGTGATCGAATGAACCTGAATGCTCTGAATGCCCTCAAACGCAAATCGATGGCAACACATCTACCGCGGTGCCGCTTTCTTTCTCAACGCTCGTTTGAGAATTTCTAGAGTATCACTATCGTGGGATCGACACCCAAAATATGTGGCGTCACGAATCCTCATTTTGAAAATACTAAAACAGAGATATAAAAGACAAATGGCGTGCGGGGGAAGGGG